GTTATGCATGTAACTATCCCAGGACAGGGTTGGATGGAAAATGTTGGTGAGCGGTCTATGCTCCTTCGCGAGGAGAAACAGGCGTAAGTAAGTAAGTAAACAATCATGTAACTATACTAATTTGTCTGAATTAGTTCAAATCAAATCAGCCATTGTAATTCATTCTAATGAGACTGTATTGATCTTGTATGTCTATGACCTTAACTAATAATGTATGTTCCATGAAACAAATACTTGGAAACATTCATTAATTATTATTCAATAAATGATTTCAACTATTCTATGTCTTATATAAGAAGTTTGTAAAGACCTAAACATTTACATCAGTTTTAATTATGATCTGATTTGAACTAGATCACTAATTAAAAACAAAAAAACAACAACTGGGTAACTGTTTCGTCCGAGTAAAAGCTTCATCAGTTGTGCTAATTTATAAACATAGCAGAGGAGATTGAACTTAAGACTTTCAGTCTTGTACCGAACCCTTAACGTCTAGATTAAAAGGTTTATTAACTTTAAGATTCGACTATTGAATTTCTAAAGAGAAATTATGATAAATAGAGATCAACTATATTGGATATGATACAATTACCTAACACAGGTAATTGAAGATGATCGTGTAATATCGTAAATTGATTAGGGTAAGTAAGATATAAATACAATTCATTAGTCACTCATTGGTTTAGAGATTAGGTGTTCGACTGGAGACCCAAAGTTTTGAATTTGGTTCACCATAATGATATCATGCTTGTTCACTGATGAGGAATTCCATAGTACTTCGAAACATGTTGAATGCAAGTGCATTTCATTGACTAAGCAATGGATCAATTTTTTAAGGATTAGGGTGCTATATATATATGAATGAGTATTAGTACATTTTAATCGGTTGTACAATACACTTTCTCGCTCAGTCTTGCATTCTCGCTCACTTAGTCAGTTGGAGGGCTAGCGCGTAACAGACCGTATATCAGTGTCAGATTTCGGACATTACGTAGTAAACACTGTGCATCACCAAACTTTCACAGTATTCTTTGATGACTATTGTGCCACAACAATGAACCTACAGAATCAATAGTAGTCCTCTGAAGGTTAACCGTCCATGTTTCGACAACCATACCAGATAACCTACCCTACTTACTAGATACACCTTGTCATGAATATTTTATATCCCGAAATAAAAAAACATGGTCATACAGAGACAGTTAAACATGTAACGATAAGGTAGTCAAAACGCTCAACTGCTGGAGACTTCCATGGAAATATGTTTTTGTTATATCCCGATAAGAATAATGAATGGTAACTTTTAGGATCCCTTTATGGACCAATACTATGCGTATATTTTTATCGTATAATTGTTAAGTAATTAAACTATTCATATTCATATCCCTCTTATCATAAGCTTTATTTTGACTTATGAACTATTATGATACGATTTACCATTCTTGAATTATGCCCTGTCTGTTAATTACCATCTCCCACATTCACAGCAACATTTGGCCAAATCTTACACAAATGTTGTTTCCTATTTTATGGTACGACGTAGTCTGTCTGGTTGGTATATAAACTCAGTATGTTTGAAATAAATGACTCGTATCGCAGCGGCTGAGATTGGTGTTCTAGACTTAACTGGCTGGACTAGACAGGAAGCAGGACCAATAAAGACTCTAGACTCCTCGTACATGTTTTATGTGTCATTGGTCTGATCGATAATTCGCTATTCACTAATTGGCGGTATCATTATGTTGTTACAATAAACAGGAACAAACAGGTCACAAGTTATAACAATTTTACACAACTGAAGCTGAGGTGTTTACTTGTATAGTAACAAACGAAAATAAATTAGATCAATGTAATTGTGTAAAACATAACGTTCTGACAATCTTAATTCGTTAATTGATTGACCAGAGTGGTACATGTTTAAATCAACTACACGTAACAGTAAGTCAAATTTCACTACTAGTTTAATCAATCAAAAGGGTGAATTATTCAAAGTTTACCTACTTAGACATGATATTGTAGTTCATTTTTCTTAATGATTATTTAAATCTACTCCAGTACTCGAACCCATTACCGTTCGGTACAAACTCCATCACGTTATTCAATTGTAGTTCTAAACATCAGTGGGATAATTCAAATAATCAATACAACAATGAATTAAACTTGATCTCATTATCTAAGCTAGTGGCAATCTGGACTCAGTAATAGAGTGGATAACGTAGTGGTGCCTGAAATGAATAGTACGAGGTTCGAGTGTACGAGTGAACACTAACTGAGGGATGCAGATACATCTAGTTGACGAGTCCTAAATAGGACGAAATAGAGTCTTGGATTCCACTACTATCCACTATCATCATCTCTGATGATAATATTGTGATATTTACACTCAATAACAATCCAACAAATCTATGCTTTAAGTATTGGGTTTAAAAGAGATTATGGAGTTTTCATTGTTTAATTGACGAACTGGTCTTAGATAAATGACCAGTAAAAATCCGAAATCATTGAATAACTGTTCCATTCTGGAATGAGATTCTTCATCAGTGAACAAGCACGATATCATTATGGTGAACCAAATTCAAAACTTTAGGTCTCTAGTCGAACACCTAATCTCTAAACCATTGAGTGACTATTCAATTGTATTTATATCTTATTTACCCTAATCAATTTACGATATTACACGATCATGTTCAATTACCTGTGTTAGGTAATTGTATGGGATGAGATGGCTAACTCCATGCCTACTTCTTATTGTTTGTCTAGGCTTGAGACGGGTGGTAGCCTCATAGAGGCTCCAGGAGGATTATTTTTTAAGTATTCATCTAACTACTTATACTTTGGAAATTCCTTTAGCCTTAGTAAGGATGTGACTGGCAAGATCTCAACATAAATACTATAAGTTGGTTTGATTTTTTTAGTTCTCAAATGCCGTGGCATGGTCGAGAGTGGGGAGAGTTAGCTCTCCCACTTCAAATACTTTCACACGGCCAGAAATATATATCCACTACCAGAGAAGTCCTACTAACTGCATTCTCATGGCATCACTGTTGTTTACGAAACTGAGAGGTTGTGAAGTGAATGTTTGGCGATTAAACTGAGTTGGTGGATATGAAGTTGGAAAACCTTCATTTCAGACTGATTGTGTACATCGACTCTAGTATCCCGAAAGAACAAACGGTGTATGAACCTATTGTTGGTCACTGTCTACCATGTGAATGCATCTTCTGATGTTTCTCCACTTCCTCGCCGATCAAACCATTAGGTCAAAGGCTCCGGTTGTGGCTCTTTAAGTAAACCATGCGCATCTATCTGGGCACCCGGCCAGTATCACAGCCCACACACAAGCCAAGTGATTTATGTGGTGCATACGTATTTGGTGCTCCTTGTACCAATATTTATATGTTCAAATAAATAAATAATGTAGTCTATGATGATAAATATAAACAGATATAATAACTATTTGGATGGTTATTCTTTCAAAGGGTAGTTTTCAAACATCTAGCCATCTAAGTTCAATCATACTTTACATAAAACTCAAGTTAAAGATATGAACTATTAGATGCTAGCTCAATAATCTGAATTGAATAACATGGTGGCTTTTATATTAGAAATTATGAGTTTTATCATTGTTCGAGTCGAGTGCCAATTTGTGTTTCGGCGAAAACGGGTGTCAGCCAAGCGTCAGTATCACCATCAGAAGTTTATAGCCAAAGTAAGTAAACATCGTAAGAGGGAAGGAAAAGACCCATTGCCTAGATTAAGGACTCTTAAACCAGAAAAAGTAGCGGAGAAACCCAAAGCACGATTTCCGCGTAGTTATGTAACACAACAGGAAAAGGGGAAGCTATGTCTGCGAAAAACAAAGTGCTTCTCTCAACACGTTCGGATGATTCCTTCCAGTATACAGCTGAGTCGGGGACAACGGACCAGAATAGCCTATCGAGTCTCTGAATTCTTGATCCTTTGTTCCGTTCCGAATAAGCCGAATCAGTAGTAGCACTCAAGCTTAACGAACCTAACACAATTGTTCCAAATTTGTATACTAGAACGAAACCGTCAGTAAGCATCAGCTTCCTGAAGATTACAGGTACACCTTGTTGACTAGTGCCAAATAGCATGCAACCTGAGTTCAGGGTTTCCTGTTGACTACCTCTAACCATTATCGTATCTCAACATAATACATGGAATTTCGAGTCAACTAGACTGGTGGCCACATTGCAACTTGGTTGATAAGATTCGATCTTCACTAGGAAGGACCTGACATGATTAATCAATTGTAAATACTGTTTATTATCTTTCTACAATAACGTCAAAATTGCATAATAAGAAATATATTACTTATAAGTAGTTCATATTTTTTAAAATAACCAGTTGAGTTCTATCAGGTCTGCTGTAAGATAACAGTTCGCTGAAGACAATGGTGTACAGTAGTGCAATTTCATGGATTGGATAAAGTTAGATATTAACACCGTCGGATGCCGGTCAGCTCAGTAGTCGAATAGTTAAGCGCTCGCGTATGAGATTGATAGGTTCTGGGTTCGAATCTCGCCGAGTAGGGAGGAGAGCGGGATCGTGGATGTGCATTGTTTAGGAGTCCCACAATAGGACGAAACGACCATTCACTGCCTCCAGGTTTTCCATGGTAGTCTAACTTCAATTGACTCATGATGTGAACTATTGAAATAATTATTTGTTTGTTAAAGATTCATGAAATCACTTAAAACATACTCATTAATCACTGAAACTAAGAAGAAACCATTACCCCACCCCACCCCACCCCACCCCACCCCACCCTATAGATTTATTTCTCAGAAACAAATTACACCCTGTTTTAATATTAGAATGATTTGATTTTACTTTCAATACATCAATATAATATTGTACAAGGATAAAAAGAAGTAAGAAGACAAGTTAATCATTTAGTAACCTGAGTTATAAATAATCAAATGTCATTTGTATTATTATTATAATTATGAATTCACATCAATGAATTATTGAATAGTCTATTTACAATATGATGAATGTAAATTATACTTGGATGATGAGGATGTCGAAGTAGTACAACAAGAATATGGGGTATTAATTAATTTCGGTGTGATTAAAATTGTTTTATTCATATTTTCATCATTGAATGTCTCGATTCTTGGTAAAGATAAACTATGTACATCTAAAATAATCATAAATTGAAATAAATAGGTTAACCGTAGCATATATATATATATATATATATATATATATATATATATATATAGAGAGAGAGAGAGAGAGAGAGAGAGAGAGAGAGTGCCCCCAAATCCCCTGGTATGGCTGAGAGTGGGATGGGCCCACCCTCCCTCTCGAAATGCTCTCACACGGCCACGCGTATTTAGCCTCTGCCAGGGAAGTCCTACTCACTGCCTTCTTGTGGCCACAGTGTTGTTTACGAAAATGAGAGGATAAAAAGCGAATGTCTGGAGCTTTAACCGGATCTCAAACGAATGGTGCACATGGTCTCCAGTATCCTGCAAGAACAAATGGCGTATGAACCAATTATTGGTCACCGGCTTCCATGGGAATGCATCTTCTCACGATGCTCCAATGCCTTGTGGATCAGACCTTCAGGTTAAAGGCTCGGGGTGTGGCCCCCTAAGATAACCACCTGCTTCGGTCTGGGCACCCGGGCAGTATCCCATCCCTCACACACAGAAATATGGTGTGGCGCATGTATATTTGGTGCCCTCTTGTACCAATATCTATGTGTTGAAATAAATAAATAAATAAAGGGAGAGAGGAAGAAAGGTATGTATTGAATAACAAATAATATATATTCATCAGTATAGGAGTTGTGGAGATTATTAAGTTGTTGATTGAAATCATGAACTGATTGATGTTAGACTATCGTTGAAAATCTGGATACAGTGTTTGACGACTGTTTCACCAGATTGTGGGACTCCTCAACAGCGTATATTGACGATTTCGCTCGCGGGATTCGAACATAGGGCCTTCAGAAATTTATGTAGGTTATAAGCTTTATGAGGTTTGTTTTGTTTTTTTTATTATTGAAAAGTAAACATAAGTGTTACTACTTATTTAAATATTTATTTGAACACGTAAATATTGATCCAAAGGATATCGAATATATATGCGCCATACACGTTACTTGGCTACTGTGTGAGGGCCTGGGTGCCCAGACCGAAGCAAGTGATTTTATTAGGGGGCCACATCCCGAGCATGCAACCTAAAGATCTGATCCACAACATAGTGGAACAAAATAAGGAAATGCAATAATATGGTAGTCGATGACCAACAATAGGTTCATACGTCATTTGTTTCTTCAGAATCCTGGAACCCATGTATACCATTGGTTTGGAATCAGGGTTTTCCAACTCCCCTAGGTGTATCCTTCATATAAATCAACCCGATTAAAGTGTCGGTCACTCGCTTTTTGTCCTTTCAATTTTGTAAACAACAGTAATGCCACGAGAGGTCAGTGAGTATTACTTCCCTGTCAGTGACTGTATATGTGTGGTCATGTGAGAGAATTTAGAGAGGGAGAACGGACTCACCTCACCCTCCGCCGTACTAGGGCGTGTATTACACTTTCTGAACATATCAAGGTCTATTATCAGTTTATCTTTTTATAAACACATCATATGCTTGTTAAGGATGTTATAACGGGATGAAAATAGCGAAAGTTGAGAGCTCAGAGAACAAAACTCCACCAAAATCATCCACCTGAGCTACAAATCTTCTCCACCATCTCAAAGAGCTATTATTCGGATTATTATTATTATTACCTATATCTTCATTGCTTCACTAATAGATAACTGTATAAATACATTTTTTCTTACCGTAAATTTTCAATGGATCTATCAACTTTCATTATATGTTTTATTATCCTTTAGTTATTAGAAATAATTATATAAGGTCTGTTTAGCTCTGTACCATATTTGATAAGGTTGTGTTTATATGAGGACGGTCCACGGGTGAAGCTCAGAAGCTCAGAAAGAGTCGAAGATATTCCATTCAATCACTTTTTGAAAGAATATTCTAGAATCTTTACGTTTAGATTCCCGATCGGACAATGCTAATAACTCCCTGTATGCATATTGAAGGACTGTAATGATTTCGTTTCTTACTAAAAGCTATAAATACCTGACAGTCTTGTACTATAATTGACACTGTGTGGAATAACGTTTTTCTTTCGCTTGTCTTCTGATTTCCCATTGCGAATTGAAAGGATTCTAGCGTTCCAGTGCTCAAGTTATACGCGATATATCGAGAATATAAGCTCTAGATATAACAGTTTAGAGTATGACTTCTTATTTGATGTACATTATTATTACATGTGTTTTGAGTTATTTAATGAATTTAGTATAATAGAGAACTAATTTGCTTTCTATCTTCATCGTCTTGTTAACCACTGTATAGAAGAAGTGTTAATATCTTGAGTTGTTGTTTATTGATCAATGTGTCAATTGATGCTCAGAAGGTCATCGGTTCTACCGGCGACACAGAACGTGATATCTATTAGCGCTTTAAGCCGTAACAACAAGTTTATTAAGATCCTGACGAGTGGTTATATGAAAGAGTCTTTATATGATTTATTCTTTCTTTCAAGATAATTACATATGATGGAAAGATAGGGGAATTCTTGAAATAAGGTCATAGATTAGATATTCAAAAGCTTATTCATTAATATATGTCCCCCAGAAAATCGAGCTGAATTCATAACCAATAGTATATATATGCTAACCGGTGTCGGAGATGGTTAGAAGAAAGTTAAGGTCGGCCAAACCAAAACGTGGCATCAGTGCTTGAAGTCATTAACTTCTAGTCTGAGTCATGTTGGTAGATACAGACTACTTGGTTGGGGTCCACGTGACTATCGTAACCAATGGTTGGAGACTCTTGGTGACATGGCTCAGAATCGATCACAATGGCGTCGGTGTATACACTCTCTGTCTTTCCTTAAACTGTGAGATTGAAATCACTTCATATCATTCTTTCTGTGAACTAATTCTTTCTTCCTGTACTATATCCTTAAATGCAATCTTTCTTTTATATATTACCATCATTGACTTAACCATTCCTATGAATTCGGTGTTCATCTTGTTGTGTTAATGAGGTGTGGCAACTTGGACCGATGCATATATGTGTCTGGTCCTACATTGTAGCTGACTGACTGACTGACTCTTAGAAAGTCAAGTTAATTATTGATCAGTAACATGTGTTTGATTGTATTACTTACTGATCGTTTAGTCTTAAATCAATATGTCCTATTAACCTAGCATATAGATCACGCGGTTTATTATACATGAAAGTCATAACAAAGTGATTCAACTATACATTGAACAATTCACTGTAATTAATGTGCTTTCGTACAATATTGTCAAGTACTTGTCGTCATTTCATTTTTATACTTCTATTGAAGTTAGACATTAACACCGTTGGATGCTGGCCAGCTCAATGATCTAGAGGTTAAGCGTTCGCGCGTGGGATTGATAGATTCTAGGTTAGAATCTTGCCAGGCAGGATCATGGATGCACACTGTTGAGGAATCCCACAATAGGACGATACGGCTGTCGAACAGTACTTCTAGCTTTTCCATGGTGATCTAGTTTCAAATGACTTGTTATCTCAACTATTGAAATTACTATAATATCCATTAAAACCCCTTCAGATATTAATCAACATACGCTCACTAGTGACTGACTTCAAGTGGTATTTCCTGAAGTTCCAGTGAGAAGCAGTGATCAGTGGAGTTCAATTGGGTTTGTTGTGAGATAGTAACTTACTGAAGACAATGGTGAACGGTGTTGCCTTATTTCGTGGATTAGTTGAAGTTAGACATTAACACCAGCTCAGTGATCTAGAGGTTAAGCGTTCGCGCATGAAACGGATAAGTCCTGTGTTCGAATCTCGCCAGGCAGGATGATGAATCCACACTGTTGAGAAATCCTGCAATGGAACAATACCACCGTCAAACAGTACTTCTAACTTCTTCATAGTGATCTAACTTCACTTGTCTCATGATTTCAACCATTACAAAATGAAACACATACACACACATACACTTACGAGTTGGAATACAAATTGTATTTCTATCACCATCTTCATTATCATCAATGTTTTCATCATGTAAATATGCTTTAGTTCGACATACATTATCACATTTATACATAACATTTGATGTATGCAATAGAGATGTTGGATGATCATATGTGTAATGGTGTTCTAATTTATGAGGGATAAATGAATTCAACCCATTATTATTATTACTGAAAGCTTCGTCTAGATCGTGTTTACCATATTTTGAGTAAGTAAAGTTCTTTCTGTTGCTATCATGGTATCTCTGTGTACATCTCGGGTAGTAACTATCACTATTATTATTATTATTATTATTATTATTATTATTATTATTATTATTATTTGGTGGCAGTGTTTCAAATGAAGTCAACTGATTATATTGTTGTATTGATAATAGATTACATGAATCATCCTCCTCATCGTCATGACGATGAGGATGAGGATGATATACATTTTGATTGGTTGATTGACATTTTGAACAACTTTGATTGGTTAATTTAATGGTTTGTTTAAATGAACAATATTCGATGATGATAAATAAAGTTAAATATAAAGTGAATATACTTATAAATATTGTAAGTAGTAAATCTGTAATTGAACAAAAAATATATAAAGAAAACAACAATGAAAGTTCCATTTTCTTTTAAAAAGTGGAAATGTTACATATTGTTTATGATTGAGATCATGAATCGATTGATGTTAGATCATCATTAAAAACCTGGAAGCACTGGACGGCAACTTTGTGGATTGGTTAAGGTTAGACATTCACATCATTGGATACCGACCGGCTCAATGGTCTAGTAGGTTAAACGTTCGCATGCGAGACTGAAGGCCCTGTGTTCGAATCCTCCGAGTGGGATCGTAGATGGGCAGTGCTGAGGAGTCCCACAATAGGACGAAATGGCCAAACAGTGCTTTCAAGTTTTCAATGGTGGTCTAACATCAATCGGTTCATGATCTCAACCAAAAACCTAATAATCTCTACAACCCCTAAACTGATTGTTACATATTCATTTGAATAATATTATGGTGTATACTACTGATATCTGTCGATATCAATAGTACGTGTATCATCAATCGAAACTCAAATGTCTGGTAGAAGAAGGTTAAGAAAATGAAAGAAAAGAGAATGAGAATAGAGAGTGATTAATGTGAAAATGAAAGAATAGTTAAGTTTGAGATAGGTGACTGGCATTTTAAAAATGAAGTATTTACTATATGATTCTCTGATTTCACTAAGAGATCCTGTAATTTTGTGTTCAAATTATATTTGGTTATCCCTGTGGTGAACGAGGACAATCGAATCTATCTGAACACAAAATAATAGAACATCTATGTAAAATCTGAGGACCATACAGTAAATGCTTTTATAAGCAAATATAGATAGTGGGTAGCAGGGAAATCCAGTTTGACGAGCGTTTCGTCCTATTTGAGACTCGTCAGCTGAATGTACCTGAATCTCAGAGCTGATGTTCATACTGGGACTCGAACACCCATCTCACCATCTGTGATATGAATCATGTATTTCAAAAATACTGGGTTTATATACAAACCAAACAGATCACATCATACCATAAAATGGAAAATAACATTTATACAAGATTTAGCCAAAAGTAGCTATGAATATGAGAGACTGTAATGAATAGATTGGTCATAACTCAAGAACGGTAAATCATATATTAATGATCTATGAGTTAAAATAAAGCTTATAATACGAGGAATATGAATAGACACAGTTTAGCTATCTAATAATTATACAATAAGAAATAGATCCCAACAATTACCATTCATCATTCTTATCAAGATTTAACAGATAGAAGTCACACGAAATGGTCTGGAGTAATTTACAGAAGTTTAACATTCATTCCACTAACCAATCTACAAGTACGTTGAGTTTACATTTGTGTTATCAGTATACAGATTTGTAAAGATTGTAGTATATTCATAGCACAAATCATGAATCAATTTAAGTTAGACTACCATTGAAAACCTCAAAGAACTAGATGACCGTTTTGTCTCAGTATAGGGCACCTCAGTGATGCGCATCCACGATCCTACAATCAGGTATCCAATTGAGGAATTTTAATCTCACGTAAAAATGCATAAAATCTAAATCACTGAGCCGGTATCCAACAATGTTTATATCTAAATTTAATCAATTCATAATCTTGTACAATCCTTCATTCATTCGTGTTAGTTAGACATTAACATCTTTGAATGCCAGATCAATGGTCTAAGAGTTAAGCATTCATGTACAAAATCAAACGTTCTAGGATTGTGGATACACACCGCTAAAGAATTCCATACCAGGACAAAACAACCGTCTAATGATTCCATCATGTTTTCAATGGTACTATAATTTAGATCGACTTATGATTCCAACAGAATTCATATTGTAAATCAATTATCCTATTCACTAGATTGTTTATTCATTCATTACATAACAACAAATCATATTCATAAGTCAATTGACATGACTATTATGTCAAATTAGAACTCATTTATTATGTATTTATCAATAATTAGATTATCTATATAGAATAAGACAAAGGGACATAGATACAACGAGATTGTGTGTGTGAGAGAGAGAGAGAGAGAGAAGGAGAGGGAGGGAGGGAGGGAGGGAGATCAGTGATAGCTCAATAATTCATTATTATTATTAGTAGTAGTAGTAGTTGAGTATAGTTGAACGTATCCGTTTTTCAATGCTTCTAATTAATCAATTCATTAGCTTATTATGATTATGTATTACATAAGATGATTGTGAATAATCAATAACAGTAGGATAATGTAATAGCAAGATGAAGATAAATTTACTTGGTATTGTTTAATTGAATCTTTCTATTGATGTGTTAGGACTGTAAGTGATCAGTCCCTTGTTGGCATATGTGCATATTGTGCGTATTATCTCTATATTGTCTTCATTTACAAGTATTATATACAAAGATGGATAGTGGTTAATAGTGGAATCCAGGACGTGCGTTTCGTCCTATTTGGAACTTGTTAGCTGGATGTACCTTCATTTCATAGTTGATATTCATTCTAGAACTCGAACCAAATACTGTTCACTTCAAATACCATTACGTAATCCATTTAGCTACTGAATCCATCTTTGCTTAGAATGCTTGTGAATTAAGACAATCTCAAGGCAAGATGCACACATGCTAACAAGAGACTAATCAGTTTGAATCTTAAAGAAATATCACCGGTAAACTTCAAGTAAACAACAATATCAGGTGAATTTACACTTCAGTTTAGGGTTGTGAAGATTATTAAGTTATTGATTGAGATCATGAACCGATTGATTTTAGACCACCACTAAAAACCTGGAAGCACTGGAATGTCGTTTCATCCTACTGTGGGACTCCTCAATGGCACTGCGCATCCACGACATCACCCCCCCTCGCGGGATTCGGATACAAGACGTATTAGTTTAGAGTGCGAACACTTAACCTACTAAACCACTGAGTCGGCATCTAATGGTATTCATGTCTAACCTCAGCCAATCCACGAAATTACTATATCTATCTTACACTGTTTAGAAATCCTATAATAGGAAGAAACGGTCATAAAAACGGTACTTTCAATTTGATCAATAATGATCTAATATCAATCAATCGATTCATGATCTCGATCCATTTATATTTTCAACTCAAAGTTATAATTAGTCTAATATATTCTATACAATTAAATCACCATTGAAATGAAACTAACTAAATAAAACATCAGTTTACTATTTGTTATTCAATGATCAATCAAAGTAATGAGTTCATTAAAACAAACCTTTATTATTATTATTATTATGTACATATATACATACACCCCCACCCCCCACACTATTTAATAGAGAAGTTTGTAAACAATAAAACTTTTTCTTTTTTTAAATTTTTATTTTTCGTTAGAAACAAACTTGAAATAAGAAAAAAACCGCCAATTTCTTCTCTTCTTTCTTTTTTTTACAACTTGGATACAGTTTGAATTTTGTTTTGTTTTTGTTTTATTCATCATAAGCAAAAACGGATTAAAAACTAATCAGCAACATAATAATTCATTGTACATTGAATTTAGTTTAATAAAACAAAATTAATATAAATGAAAAAAGGAAAAAAAGAATATTGAAATAATAAATAATAGAATTTATTGAAATATAAAGTTCTTCTCACTACCTCTTCATGGAGAAGGTGTTGTTGGGGAAATTGAAAAGATGAAATATGAAGATTCGGCGCTTTGACCGGATTGGTGGAAATAGAGGATATACCTACGAGGAGTTGGAGAATTCTGATTTCAAACCAATGGTTTACATGAGCATTAGGATCCTGAAGGAATAAATGGTGTATGAAACAATTCTTCATCTTCGGTTATGTTGTGACTTTATGTTGGGTCGATTTCTACCCTGCGTCAATTGTTGTAACGTGTAGACTGCAGGTTATGGATGGAGCAGCGTATTTATCGATCGCTTCTGTGACACGTATAACACATACGAACGACCTAGTGTTCTGATTGGTCCCCCTCCCCTGTCTAACCCAGTCATTTGAGTCCAGAACACAAGTCACAACCTCTGAGATATGAATCACTGTATTTCAGACATAATCTATTTATATACCAACCAAACAGATCACATCGTACCATAAAAATAGAAAACAACATTTGTACAATATTCAACGAATGAAATAAATAATGGCCAATAGGAAATGTCCATTTAACGTCCAAGGACATCATTAGACTTAACGTGATAATGATTGGCACATTATTCTGCATCCATAACAGGTTACCATGAGACTATCTTCTGACATTGCTCTACTTTCTTGTTGATTAGACATTTAGGTTGAAGGTTTCAGTAGTGGCCTCCTATGAAAACCATCGGCTTCGGTCTGGGCACACGATCAGTATCACAGCTCACACATAAATCAAGTGACTTGTATGGCGTATATGTATTCGGTGCCTCTTTGTACCAATATATATGTGTCCAAAAGAATAAATAATGTAAACCTTAAAGAGTGTAGAAACATACATATGAAGGAGGCGGGGGAGGATAAGAGTACCGTTCTCGAAACCTTTATTTACGTAGAATCTGTTTGGCTTAATTTTTTTGACAAACACTTTCCTAAAATACTCGACTTTCTTTTCTACAGTTTCTTATAAATAAGTGCTAACGAGAATTGGAAAATGGAACTAGTCAAGAGTTTATTACCAACCAATACAATAAAAGCAACATTCTTCGATACAACACAGCATGCAACAATCGAATCACAATTGATGGAGAAGATGTGGAAGATGTAAAAACCTTTACATATCTGGGCACCATCATTGATGAACACAGTGGATCTGATGCAGATGTGAAGGTGTGGATCGTCAAAACAAGAGCAGCATATTTACAATTGAGGAACATCTGGAACTCAAAATAACTGTCTGTCAACCAACACCAAGGTCAGGATTTTCAATGCAAATATCAAGACAATTCTACTGTATGGGGCGTAAACTTGGAGAACTACGAAAGCCAACATCCAGAAGATACAATTGTTTTTTAACAGTTTTCTACACAAAATACTTCGTATCCGTTGGTCAGACACTATTAACAACAACCTACTGTGGGAGAGAACAAACCAGATCCCAGCGGAGGAAGAAATCACGAATAAGTGATGGAAGTGGATAGGACACATATTGAGGAAAGCATCCAACTGCGCTACAAGGCAATCCCTCACATGAAATCCTCAATGCCAAAGGAAAAGAGGAAGACCAAAGAACACATTACACCGAGAAATGAAGACAGACATGAGAAGAATGAACAACAGTTGCATAGAACTAGAAAGGAAGGCCCAGGACAGAGTGTGGGTTAGAGAATGTTGGTCGGCGGCCCATCCTCCATTGGGAGTAACATGTGTAAGTAAGTAAGTTAGTACAATAAAATTTGACAATACTTGCGGTTTATAACTAAACAAATCATTTTCTATATTATTTTGATGTGTTCAAGTCATATTGTTAGTATCATTTCAGGTATAGTGTTTATTACTATACAAGAATTGAATTATTTATTTGTGAACTAATCAAATTCTAATGTAACCTAATTTAAGGTAACCGCTAAAATGCCTTCAATCAATGTTTTATGTTATCTGATAGAAGTTACCAATGTTCTATGCTTTCTTCATAGAATTAATGCAAACCTTCTTCCTTCTATAAGATTCAAATTGCATCATTCAACGTTACAATTACAAGGACTATAACTAAAAGAATTCATCAAATGTATAACCAGAATGGGTTTTGTGGAGATTTTTAGAAATTTAACAGGTTGAAATCATGAGTCAATTGAAGCTAGACCAACATGAAAAACCTGGAAGCACTGGACGGCCATTTCGTCATTGTATTGGACTCCTCAGCAGTGCGCATCCACGATCCTGCACCCCGCGGGACTCCAACCCAGGACCTACTGGCTTCGCGCGCGAGCACTTAGCCACTAGGCCACTGAGCCGGCCGGCATCCAGCGGTGTTAATGTCTAACTTCAACCAATCCATGAAATGGTGCTACCGTACACCCTTGACTTCAGTGAGCTGATATCTCACAACAGATCAGGTTGAATGTATAACCTATTATTATCACTATCATATTGTCTAATTCAAAGTGTATTGATTGAATTTGACCTAAATAAATCTGAAAGGGATTCCATTAAACTCATATTGGAAATCAGTAACTATGGTGTTTATAGTAACCTATAACTGGATTAGAAATTGTCATAGACGTTCTGTTAACTTTTCTTTCTTTAGTTTGTTTCTAACTACTTGAACGTTTTTTTGAATATATCTGAGGATTTCTATTTCTTTAATTATAATCTGTTAGATCTAGGTTTTTATGCTTTTTTATTGTTACATCTTGAAGATCTTAAGAGTCTTCATGAATTCCTTGTAAATGTCTACAGAAGCTTGGACAACTTTGAAATCACTTCAGAAGATCTGTATTCTTCAGGGACTTTCAACAGAATCTTAGAAAACGGAGAATCATAACTAAACAATCAACTAGTCTGTCACTAATTTTATCACGACAAATAGAATGGTATAGATATTTGTATTTTCTGCACACAAACTAACCATGAAAATAGACGATCTTCTATAATTCCCTCATTTTGTTTTCTATTCGAAGATTAAGAGTAGAAGATTTCTTTGAATTAGGTGGTGATTACTAGTTTGGCTCATAAATATCTAAGTTTCAAAATTATTCAATGAAATTCAGTACTCAGGATCTTCAGATATGACAGCTCATGATGCCTTCAGATTTACAAGCATTTCCTAGAAACATTCCTTAAATCATAACAGATCTCATTTGGTCAAACATTGAAAATGAAGTAGAACTATACAGCTGTTTCGTTGTGGTACGAGACTCCTCAGCAGTGTGTATCCACTACCCAACCATATATTGAACCTAAGACCTTCAGGTCTCCTATCCAGCTCCTGATATTTAGACTACTGAGATGGTAATTACAAGTCAATTATTATCTTCAGTGGTTATATCTGCCACCTATTCAACATGAGAAATTACTTTATTTTCATTATAAAAGCAACTTACTTTTGAAGTAAATATCTATATGGATTGTTGAACTTTCATGAAATGTTGGAACATTGAATTTAGACAATCTGATACTCAAACTGACCATACTGGGAAAAAAAAACAAAAAAAAGAATTAATAATAATTTCAGTAGTTGAGATCATGAGTCAATTGAAGTTAGACTATCATGAAAAACCTGGAAATACTATTTGATGTCTATTTCGTCTTAGTATGAGACTCCTCAGTAGTGTGCATCCACGATCCCGTATAAAGGATTTGAACCTAGAATCTTCAGTCTAGCCGTCCAATGATTCTAGTTTTCCCATGATGATCTACTATTAATTGACTCATGAATTAAACTATGAAATTAATATAATCTCCATAAAACACTTTTTCTGATAACAATCATCATGTGCTTACTAGTGACTGGCTTCAACAGGTATTTCCTGGAATTGTAGTGAGAAGCCATGACCAGTGGCGTTCAACCTTATCTATTGTGAGACAGTTACTAACTGTAGACAGTGGTGAACGGTGTTGCCTATATTTCGTGGATTAGTTGAAGTTAGACATTAACTCCATTGGATACAGGCTCAGTGATCTAAAGGTTAAGTGTTCACGCGCAAGACCAAAGGTCCTGGGTCGTACTGGGGTTTTTTTCGAATGATACAAACCAGTGTTACTGTGGTTTATATTCAATATGAACTAAAGAGAAATCTTAGTCTTCCTGTCATTCATTTACATAAGACTGTCTGAAAAGAAGACTAGGTTTTGAATATAACGAACTTATAGATATATTTCTCCTACGTCAGTCAGTCGGCTACAACGTAGAACTAGGCATATATATGCATGGAACACATGTGCAGTGCTTGAAGTCCATAACTTCTGGTCTGAGCCATGTTGGTAGATGCAAACTACTCGTTTGGGGTCCGCATGACTATCGTAATCAATGGTTGGAGACTGTTGGTGACACGGCTCAGAATCGATCACAATGGCATAGCTGTATACAATCCCTGTCTTCCCTCAAACCATGAGATTATAATCGCTTCATATCGTTCTTTCCACCAACAAATTCTTTCTTCCCATACTATGTCCTTATATGCAATCTTTATTTTATATGTTACCATCATTGAGTTAACTACTTCTATGAATCTGGTGTTCATGTTGTTGTGCTAATGAGGTATGGCAACTTGAACAGATACATGTACGTGCTTGGTCCTACGTTGTAACTGACTGACTGATTGATTGAGCACATATGCACTGCTGATCTGGGAATCAGGGTTGCCGAACACCACCTAGATGGATCATTCATATCCACCAACCTGGTTAAAGCACCGATTACTCGCTTTTCGTCCTCTCAATTTTGAAAACAACACCGTGGCCGCGAGAAGTCAGTGAGTAGAACTTCCCTGGTAGTAATTGTATACGCGTGACCATGTATGAGCATTTGGAGAAGAAGGCCAGACTCTCACCACCCTCGGCCGTGTCAGGGCATTTGATGGTCTAAATAAGATCAGTAACAAGGCAGATTCGCATGAATATGGCATACAATTCTCTTCAAACCTAGCATAAAACAATAGCATCATTCATAGTCCTATCATCTACCATTGACAGAGTAGGCAACCGAAACCTCCCAAGAACACTATCCAGGCATACAATAATCTAGGTACCCATCATATAACCTATATAACGCATAGTCTAAAACATCAACCTTTTCATTTAGTTAAAAAAATCATTATAGAGGTTGTGAAGATTATTAAGTCTTTTTGATTGAGGTCATGGACCGATTGATGTTAGACCACCATTGAAAATATTGAACGGCTGTTTCGTCCCATTGTGGGACTCCTCATTGGCAGTGCGCATCCACGATCTCGCTCGCGGGATTCGAACCCAGGGCCTTCAGTCTCTCAGGCGAATGCTTAATCTACTGATTCACTGAGCTAGCATCCAATGCTTTTAATGTCTAAACTCAACCAATCCACGAAGTTGCGCTAACATCTTCCATTGTACTGAGGTAGATACCTGTCTCTACCCGATACAGGATCGTGAATGCACGCTATTGAGTAGTTCCACAATAGGATGAAACAGCCATCTAGTACTTCCAGGTTCCTAACGATGGTCTAATATCAATCAGTTCATGATCTCAATCAACAACCAAAAAACGAATGTAAAACATACCTTGATATAGATAATTCTGTATAAGGATAAGAATGTTTCGGATGTATTAAACGTATGAAATGATTATTTTTAATTAAATTATTCAATTGTAAATTCACATAATCTAATCTTGTTAATGCACCACTAGCTGTTTCACCACATTTATTCATTTGTTCATTATAATATGGAATTAAATGACTACAATTCATGATATGAAAGTGTGATCTAAATTGAGTAGTATTATCCATAAATGAATTGATATTGAGCATAGATGATCTATTCTTATTAGATATAATTGTAGATGATAAATTACTATAATTTGATAGAAGATAACGAAATTTCATAACCTATATAATATAATATAAAAATGATTGTTACTATGGGGGAAAACATAAATGAACTTATCAGTATAGTGGTTATGGAGATTGTTAAGTTTTTGATTGAGATTATGACCACCATTGAAAACCTGGAAACACTGGATGGCTCAGTGATTCAGTAGGTTTAGTGTTCACGTGTGAGACTGAATGTCCTGGGTTCGAATCCCGCGAGCGGAATCGTGGATGCGCATTGCTGAGAAGTTCCACAATAGGATGAAAAGGCTGTCTAGTGCTTCCAGGTTTACAATGGTGATCTAACATCAATCGGTACATGATCTCAATCAAAAAATAAATGAACTTAGTTGTAATACAATTTAAAATTAAAAAAACATTGTTGCCTAGATGATATTACATAATCTATTTTGAGGTAGCTCGGTTTTTTATGTTTACACAAATAGGATATTCATTTATATTAAATGAATATTTACACTAGATTCCTTTCTAGTGTGTTTATTCTCAGTCAGTCAGTTATAATGTAGAACTAGGTACATATATGATTTTTTTTCTGGTTAGCGTTTTTTTAGCGAGGACGCTAACCCTATGCCCAACCCTCCTCCTTTATCTGGGCATGGGACCGGCAGTAGCTACCGAAGGGACTCCAGGTGGAGTTAACGACTCAAAATTAAAATCTAATTTCGAATCTATTTGTTTTCGAAAGTTTGCGAATTAAGTGGTCACATCAAAATATCTGAACCATGAATTAAAAAAATTAGGAAGAAGCGCTGGAAGTGGATAGGGCAGACACTAAGGAAAGCATCCAACTGCGCTACAAGACAAGCCCTCACATGGAATCCTCAAGGCCAAAGGAAAAGAGGAAGACCAAAGAACACATTACGCCGAGAAATGGAGATAGACATGAGAAAAATGAACAAGAATTGGATGGAACTAGAAAAGAAGGCCTAGGACAGAGTGGGTTGGAGAATGCTGGTCGGCGGCCTATGCTTCATTAGGAGTAACAGGCGTAAGTAAGTAAGTAAGTAAGGCACATATATGCATCGGTCCAAGTTGCCATACCTTATTAGCACAACAAAATGAATACCGGATTGATAAAAGTAGTTAATTCAGTGGTGGTAATATATAAAAGAAAGATTGCATGTAAGGATATAGTACAGGAAGAAAGAATTAGTTGGTAGAAAGAGGGTATACACCGACGTCTTTGTGATCGATTCTGAGCCATGTCACCAAGAGTCTCCAACCATTGGTTACGATAGTCACGTGGACCCCAACCAAGTAGTCTTCACCTACCAACATGGCTCAGATTAGAAGTTAGTGACTTCAAGCACTGATGCCACGTTTTGGTTTGGCCGCCCCTAACTTTCTTTCCCCTATACTAGTCAACATTGCGCTTTGTGGTATTCGGTGTTCAGGCATACGTAACACGGAGCCCAAACATCTCAGTCGATAAAGATTCACAACATCATCAACTGATTTACCATTATTCCCGAATACCTTGCATCTAACCATACTATTACTTGCCAGGTGATCCCAGCAGATGTGAACAATATTTCTAAGACATGTATCATCAAATACTAGTAGTTAACAAGTATCTTCTATTCTTAATGGCCACGTTTCGCAGCCATAAAGTAGGACAGAAAGAACTGCTGCGTAGTATACTCGTCCTTTAATCAATAGATGGTATCTTACCTTCGCCATCGGTGATGTAAGTTGACAAATGCCAACATAATTCAGATTTAGCCTGACTAAAATGTAGATATATTTCCACACTAAAAACTGACAACAATCTAACGGCGATCAGCAATCCATCATCAGTTAATAATAATAATAATAATAATAATAATAATAATAATAATAATAATAATAATAATAATAATAATAATAATACGGGTAGGAGAATATATAACTCATCTAACACCTGTCAAACTATCTACAAGTCTGACTATTCTCGTCCATACACCATAAATAATTGAAAGAGATCTTGGTTTGGCCACTCCTAACTTTCTTTTAACCATCCCCTATACTAGTCATCATTGCGCGTTATGGTATTCGGTGTTCAGGCATACGCAACACACACACACACATTCATATACATATATCAATCAACTTACCACCGTCAATATCTTACGTAATAATGAAGAACTTGGTGATACAATTACTTTTGTTTCAAAAAAACTATTAATTAATTGTAATTCAATATGATCTAATGTATGATTATATATAAAATATTGATTTTCTTCATGATGATAATGATGATGATCATCGTCATCATGATCTTGATCTAGATGTTGATCTTGATCTGGATCCATAATTGATAAAGTATTCTTTGATAAAATATCTTTACTAATTGAAGTGAATAATTGATATACTTTAGTATAACAATGATGATGATGATGATGATTATGATTCATTGTATTATGAATAGATTTGATTGGATTGAAATATTTCAAGTACTTGTATAAGTTCCAAATAGATTGAATAGTAAATTTTGTTAATAATTTAGCTTGATATAATTCTTTAGATAAATTTTTAATTAAATCATAAGCTGTACGATTATAAATTTGTAATAATGCTTTCTGTTGATAGAGTATACCATATTGAACCTTTGAATGAATGAATAAACGAAAATGGAAATCAATTATATGAATGTTGATATCATTGAATGAAGAAATATTGATATAAAGAGGGCATTGAATACACATGTACTACATAATGTACTTAAATTGTGTATGAGTTGTGATATTGCCTAGGTGGCCAGATCGAAGTAGATGGTTGAATAAGGGGGCCACACACCAAGCCTTCAATGAAAAGCTCGCCTCCGAATGGCCTGGTACGGTCGAGGGTGAGGAGAATCTGGTCTCCCTCTTCAAATGCTCTCATATGGTCACGCGTATACAGTCATTGCCGAAGAAGTTATACTTATTGACTTCTCGCTGCTGCGGTGTTGTTTACGAAATTGAGAGGATGAAAACTGGTGCTTTAATCAGGTTCGTAGATATAGAAGATCCATCTAGGGGGATTGTAAAATCCTCAGTTCAAACCACTAGTGTGCATAAGCTTCAGAATCCTAAGAAAACAAATGGCGTATGGACCAAATGTTGGTCACCGGCGACCATGGGACTGCATCTCCTGATGTTGCTCTACTGCCTTGTGGATCAGACCTTTATGTCAAAGGCTCAGGATGGGGCTTCCTATCAAAACCACCCGCTTCGGTTTAAGCACGTGGACAGTATCCTAGCTCTCACACAAACCGAATGATTTACGTGGCGTATATCTTTTTGGTGCATCCTTGTACCAATATTAATGCGTTTACATAAATAAAACATAAAAGTCTAATCACCAAGAAAGTAGAGTAACATCATGAAATTCAGTATCATGGTAGCCGTTGACGAACAATAGGTTCATACGCCATTTTTTCCTTCAGAATCCTGAAGTCGATGTTTAACATTGGTTTGGAATTAGGGTTTTTTCCAACTTCATATCTAACAGCCCTGTTTAGGCTCCAAACACTCGCTTTTCATTGTCTTAGTTTCTTAAACAACAGATTGACGAGAAAGCAATGTGTAAGGTTTCCTAGTCAGGAGTTCTATACACGTGGCTATGTGATGCATGAATTTAGAAGATAAACCTTTATAATGTTTAAATGATAAATATAAATCCATGTTAGATTATTAGACTCAATTATTGTATGTGACTGATATGGTGTGTGTTTGGATTTCATAAAGATTTTGAAAAGAATTACTTTAAGGATAAATCTCGAACATTATGAAACGCGATTCGCTTGGTGTTGTTTTACTTGTATCTTTGCATTGATGTTTAGGATTGCAATTGATGAGTCTCTTATTGGCATATATGTATGGTGTACGGATTGCCTCTATTTTGCCTTAATTCACAAGCATTCTAAGCAAAGATGGATGGTAGCTAGTAGTGGAATTCAGTTTGACGCACCTATTTGGGACTCGTCAGATGGATGTACCTGGATTCCATTGCAAGCCACTATCTATCTTGGCTTATAAAGATTAGGAAACACAAGTATACACAAAATAGATAAAATGTGACTACCAATGAAATGTAGAGAATGCGTTTCGTCTTATACAGAACTCGTCATCTGGATGTATTTGCATTCTAGTGTTAATGTTCACAATGGAAATAGGACCTAGTACCTGCGTGTCAAATTCGAACTCAAAACCTTCGGTCTCACGCGAGAATACTTAACCCCTAGATTATTGAGCCAACATTCAATGGTGTTAATGTCCAATTGAAATCAATCCGTGATCTTGCACAACCCATCATTTACTGATTGAATCTACGTATTAACACCGCAGGGTTAAGAGTTCACGTACGTGACCAAAGTACCTGGGTTCGAATCCCACGCTTGGGATCATGGATGTTCACCGATGAAGACTCCTATACTAGGACGAAACGGCGGTCCAGTACCTCCAGGTTTTCAATGTTAATCTAACACTGATCCATCTATGATCTCAATAACTTTAATGACAAATTGTTGACGATAAACGATATAAAGCTCTATTAGACTTTAGGGTTTTATCTTAGTTTATAATAAGAGATTAGATTCATAATATAATAATGCTGTTTGTTAGTGATTAGATCTTTTCATTTAGAATAATAGTTCTTTTTTGTTGTACCTTTCTCACCTAATATTTCAACTGTTAATACATTTGTTCCCAAGACCAGTTGAAACTGACACTACACTATATTGTTAATCTATAATTCTCTCTATATTACCTTTATATTCTAAACAGAAAGCGATGATAAAGCGTTTCCGATTTGTTCTAAGGTGACATATACATACATTCATGCATAATCATTGGTGGTCTAATTAAAAAAAACAACGGTGATCTGTTGAAACATTATCAAAAGATTAGAATCATATCATTGAATAAGGAATCGATACTTTGTTTAAGCGTGATCGCTTTCTATCCTTCTTTTAACAGATTGATTGTCATGTAAACATTCACTTAGTGTTGCTGCAATTGATCAGTCTCATGTTAGCATATGTGCATCCTGTGCGGATTGCCTTGATATAGCCTTAAGTCACAAACATTCTAAGCAAAGATGGAATCCAGGATGTTTTAAGCAAAGATGGATGGAGGCTTGTAGTGGAATTCAGCTTGATGAGCGTTTCGTCCCAGTTGGGACTCGTCAACTGGATGTACCTGCAACCCAGAGTTGATGTTCATTCCGGGACTCCAACTCAGTACTGTTCGTTTCAAATGCCATCGCGTACTTCACTTAGCTACTGAGTCCTGACAGCTACCTGTTTGTACAATGGGATGAAGTTTAAATTCACTTGGTATTAGTTACATGTATCTTCCCACTGTTATTTACGACTGCAATTGATCGGTCACATGTTGGGATATGTGCATCGTGTACGGATTGCCTTTATATAGCCTTAAATCACATTTTAAGTTCACATTTTAGTTAGTGTTCACTGCTAAGAATACCATGTAATTAATAGTTTGATAATTCTCATTGTTAGTTTTGATTGTCGTTTTGGGCAGTAACATCAACTCCTTACTCATGTACGGTAAGGAATGTAAACCGAGTTTCATTTGTACAATGAATGACAGATAATTTTCAAAAGCATGACTTTCAAATCAATAGGGAATCAGTGAATACATTAACGTATACTACCCGATTTATAAGAGTTCGAGATCAATTGTAAAAGGCAGTAAACAAGATTGTAAAACACAAATGTAAATAACAAAACCTTAGTAAAGAGTCAGTTACTAAAAACTAACTGATTTAACACTTGTACAGTAACTGTGAAGTGTAATTCTACATGAAGTAGCGATTGAAGTTATGATCCAGCTTAGAGAACTCAATGACACTGATAAACTTCCTGCTAGAATGTGACATTGATCTGTTTCTTATTATTTCAATAAGAAATGATTACTATAAGAATCAAACATGTAGAATGTAAAACAGTTGTTATCAATGTCATTGGATAGTTATTACGATATATCATAAATTGATTGAAGCTGTAATTTTATTAATGGATATCGACTTAGTGAATCGAGTGTTCAAGTGTTCCCCGCTAGATCTGAAGGTCTTGGGTTTGATGCACGGTTGAGTCATGGATGAGCATACCTGAGGAGTCTCGTACTACGACTAAGCAACAGAAATGTGCTGCATGGTTTTTAATAAATTTCAACTGAGGTCGATATCTGATGAATATAATCAAGGAGGCTAAAACTAGTTTATAGCTCATATTTAATTTCAGTTATTAATGACATTGTGGTGGATAAATTCTTAGTGTTTAATTCTGTAAAATCGTCAACACCATCCGGAATTCATATGATCGACTACATGGTAATGTGGTGCATGGAGGACAGCTGACAGACGCATTCCAAGTGGGGATTGGAATTAGACAATGCTGCTTACTCTCCCTCTTTCTCTTACCTATCATGATTGACTGCATTATGAAGACCTCCGCATTTGACGAGAAGCACGGAATAAAATGGACAGCTAGGATGGAAGTTGACGATTTTGACTTTGTAGATGACTTAGCCCTTCTATCTCATACAGATCAACAAATGAACGTCAAGACAAACAAATTAAGAGCAGCCTCTGCATCAGTAGGCTTCAAGATACACAAAGAAACAAGCATGATACTGTAATACAATACAGAGAACACCAACTCAGTCACACGTAATGGATAAACTCTGGAAGAGTTGGAATCTTTCACATATCTAGGGAGTATCGTCTACAAACAAGGGAGATCTGATGCAAAGCAAGAGGAACATTTCTACAATTGAAGAACATACGGAACTGAAAACAACCATCTACCAACCAATATCAAAGGGGGAATCTTCAATACAAACGTCAAGACAATTCTAGTGTATGGAGCTGAAACTTGGACAACTACTACAAACACCATCAAGAAGGTACAATTAGTTATAAACAGTTGTCTACTCAAGTTACTCAATGTTCGTGGCTGGTAATCATCAGCAACAACCAACTGTGAGAGAAAATGAACCAGCTTCTAATTGAGGATGAAATTAGGGGAAGACATTGTAGGTGTATACGACGTACATTGTGGAAATCATCAAACTGCATCACGAGGCAAGCCCTGACTTGGAATCCTGAAGGTATGCAGGAAAAAGGAAGACCAAGGAACATATTGCATCGTGAATCGGAAGCAAACATGATGAAGATGAATAGCAACTGGAAACAACTAGTAAGGATTGTCCATGACAGGGTTAGATGGAAAATACTGGTGGGTGGCGGCTGGTGCTCCTCGACGAGAAGTAACAGGCGTAAGTAAGTAAGTAAGTAAGTTTAATTCTATGTGATCAAACTTACTACAGTACCGTTTCGTTTGAATAAATTCGTATTGAATTTCTGTAATAAATGTATTTGGATTGGAAGCTTTTCTAGTTGTACAACTGATTGTATATTATATGCTGGGCAAATATCTGTTAAATGTAAAAACAGTTTTGTGTAGAATAAAAATTACAATGGGATTACATGGATTGATAATCCGTTAAAAAAGGAATACAAAATCTGTAACTTACATCAAAGACTGACCGTAGCTAGATAATCACCGACAACAGGTGGGGACTAGTAGCTAATCCATCTTAGTATAAGGCTGAATAACAATGTTCAACCATGATTCAAACAAGGGTCGAACATAAAACTTCTAGTCAATGCACTGAACAATAAACATTCTAACTATTTATTTGTCATCCAATAGTTATCTTACTAAAGTCAATCTATCAAGTAGATTACACGTTGAACACTTTTGAGAAATCTCCTATTATTACTAATAATATAAATTTATCTGGTTTGTTCCATACAACTTTATCAGTTGAGATGGCTGGGACACATGTTACGTATGCTCAGCCACCGACTGCCCAGACGTGCTATGTTTTGTGGTGTAGGAGTAGGAGTAGGTTAGAAGAAAGCTAGGGGTGGCCAGATTAAAACATGGCACAAATCCATGAAGTCACTGACAAGTGGACTGAGTCAAGTTGCTAGGTGTAGACTATCTGGTTGGGATCCACGAGACGATAACAACCGATTGTTATTTATTTCACTGGATTATACTCCTTGAATAACATCGTCAAACCCTAATGTTTCCGACTACTGCGCTTATACTCTTACTACCTCTACCACTATGGGATTTGAGTTGACAATTGTATCTCTGTGATAATGTGGTATGGCAACTCGAACTGATGTACACACGTACGAAGTTATACATTGTTACTGACTGACTGACTGATGCAACTTAATCCGTTGATAAATCTAAGCAAAGCAAAAGCAACAGGATTGATAGACTCAATTAGATTCAATGCATTCTAAGGCTTGTTATTAGCTTCAAAAAATAGGTAAGAAAAATAGTTTATTGAAGCTGATCATAAAAATCTGAAATCACTAGATAGTTTTCACGTTCTAGTATTGGACTCTTCAGTGGTTGTATGCATCAACGACTCCGCCATCAATGATCAAACGTAGAAACTTTGGTCTTGCAATTTAATACTTCACTTCCAGAATACTAATCTGGATCCACTGATTATCTTAATAAAGTTAAGCAATTTCCATAACCTCCAATTTGATAATTATCATGTTCTCACTAAAGACTTGTTTTGAGAATAAATTTTTGGAGCCTCATTAAAAGACGTGACTAACAAAGTTCAGCAATGTCAAATGTTTTGAAGGTACCATAGAAAACAATACATTAGGTTAATGCAACATATTCAATTAAGTGAAGTGAAACTTGTGTATCAGCGGATATTGGATCCGTGGTACAGAAGTGAAGCGTTAATGTACAAGACCAAAGGTATCTACAACAATGAGTTTCACAAATCTATCTATCTAGTTTGTTACTAACCAACACATTACAATGTAAATAAACATATTTGTAACAGTAAACAGTTCAGACGAAACTAACCTTTAGTCTTTGTTCCAAAATGATTTCCACTTTTGACAAAATATTGTTGCTAAATCAATATTAGAAATGTAAAACGAACAGGTTAGAGTTAATTTGATTCCAAGTAGGCGCTTGCCTAGTGATACAGTTTGATGATATCCACAATATACGTCTTATCCATCTCTAATACCGATTTCCTAAAATCCTCTTCAATTGGAAGCTTGTTTTCTCTCTCCAACAGTAAGCTGTTACAAAGAGGAACCGAATACATATGCACCACACAAGTCACTTGATTTGTATGTGGACTGTGGTACTACCTGGGTTACCAGACTGAAACAGGTGGTTGCCTTAGGGGACCGCACTCGAAGCCTTCGACCTAAGGGTCTGATCCACAAGGTAGTGGAGCGACATGAGGAGACGCAATCCTATGGTAGCCGTGATATGATGGAAAGATAAGTCAATTTTCAATTGAATTACTCATTATGAGTTTGATTCAACATTCAACGTCCGTTCTGATTCAACGTGAGGATCATTCATTGTAGTATTTGATTTGTTTTCCCAGTATAATATTTTCTTCTGTATAATATACGATATTCTTGTATTCCATTGACATGAACTATGCTCAGTAAGTGATTTGTTATAACTGAGTATGTGATTTAATCCTAATTATTAATCAAAATGGGTGTACAATCAATATATAAATGAGTGTATTTTAGACTAGATTCGTCGTTGTCATAGTGTTTAGGGCTAATAAATCTTCACTTATACCAGTCTTTGTGTTCTTACCTTCGCATCGTGGGAATTACCGAGGTCTCTCATTCCGAGTATAAGTGATCAACGTTTTTCGGCACAACAATTGCGATGACCAAATATAACATAATGTTTTCTTGTAACTATGGCCACTATCGAGATATCCAATTACGGAGCCTATATACTACCAGAGATCAATCAAATTCAACTCTGAATATTTTGGTAGTATTATGTTGTTTGAGACGAATAGTTTAATTGTAAATGAGTTATTTCATCTTGAAAGTGATTAGAGGATTCAGAAATGAGTTTTTTTTCCGAAATTTATTATTATTATTATTATTATTATATATTTCAAAAATAATCATTCATACGGTCAAGTTGTAGTCAGATCCCGGGCCACTAAAGTGGACAGCCCATCAACAAACATTGTCTAAATGACGACAAAATATTCACCTTAATACTTCTTAATCAGCGATCTAGTGGTTAAGTGCTCGCGCGCGAAACTAGTAGGTCCTGTGTTCGAATCTCGCAGAGGGCGTGGTCGCAGATGCGCACTGCTGCGGAGTCCCAAAATAGAACGAAATGCCCGTTCAGTGCTTCCAGGTTATCCATGGTGGTCTAGATTCAACTGACTCATGATCTTAACCATTGAAATTATCATATTTGTTAAATCGCTTTGAATAAGACTGTATAGCTTCCATAGATGATGTCATTCATAATAAAATCTTTATTGATTTGTATTCATTTTCAGATATACAAACATTTGTATGTATCTATCCTCCTTAATTAGTAATATATAATGAGGTAATCAACTCTCATTGATCCGATTACATTTATGGTAATCAAACATTTTTAGTTATCATATGTTGTGTGCTACTGATATCGACAGATATAAGTAGTATGTATCATTAATCGGAAATGAAATGCCTCGAAGCAGAAGATTGAGAGAAATCAAAGACTAGAGAATATAGAACAGAGAATAACTGGTATGAAAATGATGAAATAACCAAGTCTGTATTGTTATCATTGAAATAGATTTGATTGTTCTCACTGATATTCTTGTATAATGAAAGGTTTCTATCATATTGTATTTCATTAATTTTTTCTGGTTAGTGTTTTTTTAGCGGGTTAGTTTTCTACGGGATAGGGTCGCTAACCCCATGCCTAACCCTCCTCGTATAACCGGGATTGGGACCGTCAGTAGCCCCTGGAGGGACTCCAGGCGGAGAACTACGAAAGCCATCATCCAGAAGATACAAGTGTTTATTAACAGTTGTCTACGCAAAATACTTCGAATCCGTTGGCCGGACACTATCAGCAACAACCTACTGTGGGAGAGAACAAACCAGATCTCAGCGGAGGAAGAAATCAGGAAGAAACGCTGGAAGTGGATAGGACACACATTGAGGAAAGCACCCAACTGCGTCGCAGGGCAATCCCTCACATGGAATCCTCAATGCCAAAGAAGTAGAGGAAGACCAAAAAATACATTACGCCGAGAAATCGAGATACAAATGAGAAAAACGAACAAGAGTTGGATGGAACTAGAAAAGAAAGCCTAGGACAGAGTGGGTTGGAGAATGCTGGTTAGCGGCCTATGTTCCATTAGGAGTAACAGGCGTAAGTAAGTATTTCATTAAGTCAAAAAATAAACAATGGAATCATTATCAGAAGGGGTTTTGTGGAGATTTTAGAAATTTCACTAGTTGAAATTATGAGTCAATTGAAGCCAGTGAAATTACTACAATCTCTACAAAACTCCTTCTAATAATAAACATCGTATGCTCAATAGTGACTGACTTCAAGACACACTCCTGGAGTTCTAGTGAGAAGCTGTGACCAGTGAAATTCAACCAGGTCTGTTGTAAGATATCAGCTCACTGATGATAAGGGTGACGGTAGCTCAATTTTTCGTGGATTAGTCGAAACTGAATCATTTGTAAGTTTCGTTCTAGTTCTTACTTAACATATGAGGCCCATCCCATAACTTATCCTTTATCAATTTATTTGACTCAATATATAAGTAAGCTGAATATAAATTCAATAACTTACTTGTATACTAATATACGAATGAAACTTTGGTCCAACAATAATAGATTGATCATTATTATCCATATTGAATTGTTGCCTAGGTGAACAATTTTGGTTTTGTACAGTTAAATAAAATCCAACATAACCTTTATTTGGTATTATGTAATCATATTCTTGTGGATCCAATATTAATTTCAATTCAGCAGCTATCATGAAAAGAAATCATAGAGGGATGAATGAACCATTTGGATTGAAATGAACTAAATAAACATGAAATGCGTTACTTTACAATGATCAATCCATTAAAATATATCGACGTAATCAGTACTAGACTGAATGACTTGATGATAATGTGTCAGACTATGGAACGGGATAACTTGGGCTTGAATCCATTAGATAGTATTGGTTGCTCTGAGATTTTGAAACATATATATATCCAATGATATAGAAGAGATATGAGAATAAAAGTCACGTGAATGGAATTGATTACAACTTACTTTAGCCTGTTACTTCTCGTGAAGGAGCATAGGCCACTCACCAGCATTCTCCATACAACCCTATCCTTGACAATCCTTTCCAGCTCCTTCTAGTTTCTATTTATCCTTTTCATATCTGATTCTATTTCTCGACGTAATGTATTCTTTGGCCTTCCTCTTTTCCGTTTCCACTCAGGATTCTAAGTTTGGGCCTGTCTCGTGATGCAGTTTGATGATATGTGTAATGTTTGTCCTATCCATCTCCATCATTTTTTCATAATTTCCTCTTCAGCTGGAAGCTGGTTTGTTCTCTCTCACAGAAGGCTGTTGCTGATAGTATCCGGTCAAAGCTTGTTGAGTATCTTGAGTAGACAACTATTTATAAATACTTGTATATTCTTGATGATGGTTGTTGTAGTTCTCCACGTTTCAGATCCATGCAATAGAACTGTCTTGACGTTTGTATTGAAGACTCCCACTTTGATATTGGTTGATAGACAGTTGTTTTGAGTTCCATATGTTCTTCAATTGTAGGAATGCGACCAGTGCTTTGCGAATCCTCGCCTTTACGTCTACATCTGATTTTCCTTGTTCATCAATGATACTTCCCAGGTATGTGAAGGATTCTACATCTTCCAGAGTTTCTCCATCAAGTATGATTGTGTTGGTATTCTCCGTGTTGTATTTGAGGACGTTGATTTTGCCCTTGTTTATGTTGAGGCCTACTGATGCAGAGGCTGATGCTACACTAGTTTACTTCATCTATATTTATTCGTGTGTATGGGATTGATTACCAACAATTACAAATATATGTGTTTGACAATTAGTCACTTTTTATGTAAACTTTCTCAATATGTTTTTTGAATGATTACATTTTTATGGTGCATGCTACTGATGTTGACAGATATATAAATAGCATGTATCAGCAATCGGAAGTTGAAGGCCTTAAAGCAGAAGATTGAGAGAAATCGAAGAGAAGAGAATACAGAACAATGAGTGATTGATATGGAAACGAAGGAACAACAAAGTCTTTGATTTTATCAAGATTTTCTGCAATGTTCTATTGAAATATATTTGATTGTTCCCATTACTGTTCTCATTCACTACAGTTAGTCAGTTAGTAACAACGTAGAACTTCGTACGTACATACGTACGTACATCAGTTCGAGTTGCCATACCACATTATCACAGAGATACAATTGTCGATTCAAATCTCATAGTGGTAGAGGTAGTAAGAGTATAAGCGCAGTAGTCGGAAACATTAGGGTTTGACGATATTATTCAAGGAGTATAATCTAGTGAAATAAATTTGGAAAGAGGAAAAAAAGAAAGGGACAAGAAGAATTCAGAAGATTAGAATTTGGGAGAACACAAAGAGTGAATGCACCTGTGCCATAAATGACACAAGTTGGCAAATGCTAGTTGAGCTTTCTGTATCTGTGCTAAGATTTCGTCACAAACCAGACCACTGGAGCTGATGAGACTCTCGAGATAAATGAGGCGGTCGACACGCTCAACTACTTCACTCCTTATGATTAGTTCGAGTGTCGATGCAACCCAATCCTGAAATAACATTCTGTATTTCGATTGGGAGAATCGCATCCCATTCACTACACTAAACCTCAACTTTGTATTGCGATTTTACATATTCTGTACTGAGAATGTTTGTAATGAATATAATCAAAATATGGTACTGAAAAGCGATTATCATTATTGATATCATTAGTTCAGATACCATTGACAACGAAAATCAACTCAGTAATAGATTCTTCAGTAACGATGTACTAAAAGAAGACATGGTGGAAATCATACATTAAATACATCATTTCTACCTCTTCTTCGGTTTTTTTTCTTTACATACTCTATTATTCTTTCAATTCTATTATCGCTCTGTTTTCCTTCCTCCTCTCTCTAGTTCATTCTTCTGCTAGTAAGTATTCCACTTCTTATCCCTACTATATACCACTTATATCTGTCCGTATAATTGGCATACATCACACCGGAAATCATCAATCTTACAAGGAATTTTAATTCACGATTAGTAGACCTCAAGTCATCACTCATCTTTTAACTAGTTCACGAAATAGTGTCTACAACTAAGCGGTCTGAATTGTTGACAAGGTTATTGTATTTGGTCTTGAGGATTCTCACTCATTTGTAATTCTGAAGGCCAAAGGAGAAGAGGAAGACCAAAAAACACATTACGTCGAGAAATGGAGACAGACATGAGAAGAATGAACAACAATAGGATAGAACTAGGAAGAAAGGCCTAGGACAGGATGGGTTAGAGAATGCTGGTCGGTGACCTATGTTCCATTGAGGGGTAACAGACGTAAGTAAGCAAGGCATTATGATTGATTCAAACAACCTATCCAGATTATGACGGAATGGAAACGATCAGCTTCCTGTAGTGAATCTTTTCAGTAACCTCAATTTAAGTTAAACTTGAGGATAGTGTGATTGAAGTGATATAATTTGTCGATTATTACGATGCAATTTTAAATAATACTGACTTGTTCTATGATATGATACGATGAAAATGTGCGTAGAGTATTAATCCATAAATGGATCCTAAAAGTTACCATTCATTATACTTGTCAGAACCTAACACTGAATATAACCATACTTACTATCAGATGATGTAAACATATACGAAATTTAAGGCAATATCGAGGCATACGCACAGTATGCATATATGCCAATAAGAGACTGATCAATTTCAGTCCAAAAACATCAATGGGACGATTCAAGTAAAACAATATCAAGTGAATATACGAAATTTGTTTATGATGAACACCAAAAGTGTTATAAACAGTTTGATGAAAAAGTCTTTAACTATAAGCTGGGAGCTTCTGATGGATCTCAATTCACATTGAGATTATATGTGTAATTATTGACTTAAATTTAGACACACATAACTACAATTCAGTGAGTTTTGTAAATATTATACAATCTTTATAGTCTATGTCATGAACCAATCTAAGCTAGATTACCATAGGAAACCATGAAATAAACAGCTGTTCCATTCCAGTATAGAACTCATCAACCGGGTTGTCGACATGTACCATTAACAAGTCCTATACTATGAAGAAACGGCAGTTTAAGGCTTCCAAGTTTTCAGTCATGGATTAGTTAAGATCAGTTTATGATTTAAATGATCAAAAACTATATAATTAAATCTACATATTTAATAACTTGCCGGTTTTCGATTATGTATTGTCAAATTGTTCTGAATGACTGAAAATAATATAACTATTGAAGATAACTTATAACAAATTAATTTCAATAGTCGAGATCATGATGACAATGCTGGATGTGTCGCTGAATTTCGTGGATTAGTTGAAGTCAGACATTAACACCGTTAGGTACCGGCTCAGTAGTTTAGTGGTTAAGCGCTCACGCACGAGACTGATAGGTCCTGGGTTCGAATTTCGCCGGAGGGGGCGGGGTTGTGGATGCTCACTACTGAGGACTCCTACAATAGGAGGGAACGGCCATCAAACAGTGCTTCCAGGTTTTCCATAGCAGTCTTTTTTATATTATAATAAAGTCAATGAGAAACATTCTCTATCAGAAACTTAACTACCAAAATTTAAATTCAGGAAAAACAAACGTTTCAATATTCTTTTTTATTGAGATCATGAACCGAATGATGTTAGATCAGCATTGAAAACCTGGAAGCACTGGACAGCCGTTTCGTCCTATTAAGGGACTCCTCGGCAGTGTGCATCCATGATCCCCCCATCGCGGGATTCGAACAGAGGGCATTCAGTCTAGCACGCAAACGCTTAACCTACTGGATCACTGAGTCGGCATCTAATATTAATTTTAATACAAAGAAAGCAGAATTAAAACATTAAAATATCACTTACTTCTGGAAAAATTCAAATGAAATTGATAACACCATCCATGTGTTGTAAATATTGAGATAAAATCATTAATTGTACATTGATCATCACCATATTGACAACTGAAACGGTACAAATCAACGACTGTGTAAAGATCAAAACAAATTGAATATAACAATAAAATATGAAGTCTACTAGTTGAGTTCATGAGTCAACGTAAGCTAGACCATCGTTGATAACCTGGAGGTATTAGACAGCCGTTTCGTCTTAGTATACAGTTCCTCAGCAATATGTATCTGTTCAGTCCTTTCAAGTTTTCAATGGTGATCTAGTTTACATCAACTCATGAATTCAACTATTAAAATTACTACAAACTCCACTAACCGCATTCTGATAAAAAAGAATAGGAAGTTTAATAGACAATGATATTTATCTTATATGTATAATAAAACTATATCCTAATGACAAATTTAAGCATGCAATAGTGTTTCAATGTGTAGTCTTTGCGTTACTTGAGTGTATATGTCATTTGTGCACTAAATGGTGTGACGGCAGTAAGCTGTTTGCTTCAGACGACCAGCATGACAGCGATGCTACCTTCCCACAAGGAAGGGTAGGATTAGAAAAGGTCGACTCTAAAAATGAACACCTCGCCTTATTCCACGGATATCCGTCTCCGGCGGTAAAATCTCAACAAGTACGGAGCTAACACTAAAATTACTCACATGAAGTTCATGTGTGACCGACCTTAAGAAGTTGTCCCTTGGGCACTGCGGTCACGCTCTTGGGTCACTAAGACCACCTCTAATCTAATTTCCTTTTCAGGTACCTCCAGAAGAACCCTTCCACAGTGTGGGCAATCGGAAAGTGATAACCGCCCTCATACTTCTAACGGCACTCAAAACCATTGTATTCATAATCAACCTCCCTCTTCACACTGAATGGTTAAGGTCAATTCAGATTAAAATTTTGATCTGTTGAAATTGCAAAATCAAGTAACAGAAAGAAGTGAATCACTTCATCGTTTACATCACGGACTGATCATAGTTAAACGACTACTAAAAATAAAGAAGCATTGAACAGTTGGCTCGTCAATGTATGAAACTCCTCTGAAGTCCGCATTTATAACCATAGCCGAAGATCGAACCTATATTTTTTAGGTCTCACTGAGAGCTCATAACCTTTAGGTCATTTAGTTGGTTTCGAATGATTCATATTATCAACCTCAGTTGGACGTCAACATTTGTAATCATAACTAAATGTCATTATTAAGTAACTGTCTCACACACCCATTACAGTGCGGCTTCAATGGTCACAGGTTTAGATGATTATTACCAATATTCAGTAAATCACTGTTACATTATTTCATCTGACAACATACATACTACTGATTAAACATCTTTCATTAAGTCATATTCTTCAAGTGTTTAATGACAACTTGTCATCAAATTAAGATTCCTTCAATCAATCAATTGAGGTGTAAGTTAGATTCAAGATGAACTAGTTATCAGTAGTTTGATATTGATTATTGGAAAGCAAATATTTCAGTGAACAAGAACACCAATAGGAACAATCGATTATATTTCAGTACGAAATTACAGAACATCTCACTAAAATCTGAGAAATAAATATTATTATCAGAATGGGTTTTGTGAAGATTTTTAGAAATTTCACCCCACAAGGTGCGGGGTTGTGGATGCGCACTGTTGAGGAGTCCCATACTAGGACGAAACGGCCGTCTAGTGCTTCCAGGTTTTCCATGGTGGTCTATCTTCAATTGACTCATGATTTTAACTTGTGAAACTAAATATTAATCCATCATCTCAAACTTGACTATTCCTGTTGTAAACATCAATCCATTGTTTCATATTTCATTGTTCATGCATTTTCATATCAATTGTGTTCCGTTGCCATTCTTTCTTCATAGACCTTCTACTGAAATACATTCTGTGCCTGACCACCATTATATACTACTTGTGTGGATATAAGTAACCCACACCGTAATATGAGAATAATACAGTGACTCAATCTCTCCATAAACATATAAATATTCTTTAAAACAGATGACTTGTGGTTTGTGATGAGATCCATAACGTGCGTTTTTTTCTCCTATTCGCATGTCAGTATTGATGTTCTTGCTGGGGCTCGAACTAAGTATCCATCCTTAGCTTTAATTGATGATGTGCGACTTCCTTAACTAGTGATTATAGGTAGCTATTAACTTGATTGATAGGTATAACCTTTTTAACCATTATTAGTATTGGTTTGAATTATTCGCTTGTAGATATTCAGGATGAATATCCTTTTTTTAGCAGTCTTTGCTAGTATATACATATCCTCAGTATCTCACTCCAACAGTGAGCCATCCAATCATGAATTTGTCACAATTCGAACCCATAACATGGATGATATGAGTATTATACTCATTGATCAAGTCAACAGTGATCTAAATCTAGTACAAGGAGGCCGGGTGCCCAAACCGAAGCAGATGGTTTTCTTAAGAGGCCATTCCACGAGCCACTCACCTAGAGGTCTGATTCAAAAGACAATAGAGCAATGTAAGAAGACGCAATTCCATGGTAGCCGGTGATTGACGATTGGTTCATACGCCATTTGTTCCTTCAGGATACTGGAGCTCATGTCTACTATTGGTTTGGAATGAGGGTTTTCCAACACTCCTAGGTGAACTCTCCATGTCTGTCAATCCCGATTAAAGCGTCGGACATTCACTTTTCGTCCTCACAATTTCATAAACAATACAACTGCCTTAAATGAATATTTACCTTTTATTATTGACCTTTAATGATATCTCATTTTTAGAATAAATAATTATGGGAAATTTAAGATGGGAAAATCTCTAGAGAATCAATCTTATTCAATCATATGGGGTATATATGTGAAAATTTCTACTTCTATCACCCTGTTATACTCATATATCCCTAATACTACCTGTAATGAATGAAGGTGTTATGACCTCATGAAGGTTTACCATAAAAAAAAGCGGCAAATTAGATCATGACCGTTAGGATTATCTATTTGGTTTAAACAAACAAACAAACAGTAAATTAAGGCTTGTTTACTATTAAGTACAGTTTTATATCTTTTAAGGTATCCATACCCTTTATTGTTAATCGTTTTACAGAATAAGATTCATGTTTCATATCGGTTCATAAATGATTTTATTTGACCTTGATAATGATGAATAGTTAATGAAGTAAACTAACCATTTTATATAATTAATTATGATGAAAATGAAAGAAATACGATTACTACTGAAGAGTCCTACAATTGGACGAAACAATCATCTATTGCTTTTAGATTTTCCATGGTAGTTAAGCTTTAATTAACTCAGGATTTCAACTATTAATATTAGTATAATATCCACAAAAAACCCTATTCTGTTAATTCCATATGTTTAATTCAATGTGATAATGATGATTTGGATGATGATGATGATGATGACTTCCCTGTCAGCGGCTATATATGCGTGTATCCATGCAAGAATATTTGGAGAGAGAGAGTGGACTCTCTCTTCCTCTCTCTCTCTACCTTCGGTCGTACCAGGGCATATCAAATATATAAACTACTAGCTAATGTGAGAACAATTTTTTTAAATTGTTGACTATACAGCTTCACATCACTAAATAACTATAGATAATAAAAAGTAACGGAATAACCATTTCGTCCTAGTTTTGAACTAATCAGAAGTGTTCATCTATGACTATATAAATTTAATTATGTCGGGGTGAGAAAAACATTATCAACTTCTATAAGCTATTACTTTATAATATCACGAATTGGCTAAAACTAAACGTATAAACCAATAAACGCAAGCTAACGGTTTAAAGGTTAACGCCTTACTTCTATGTATGATGGTTATGGTTTTAACATATAGTGGTATTATCAGTTTAGAGGTTGTGGAGATTGTTAAATTTTTTTGGTTGAGATCATGAACCGATTGGTGTTAAACCACTATTGAAAACCTGGAAGCACTGGACGACTGTTTCGTCCTATTATGGAACTACTCAGCAGCGTGCATACACGATCCCCTGTTAGGTAGAGACAGGTATCTACCTCAGTACAATGGAAGATGTTCACGCAACTTTGTGAATTGATTGAGTCTAGATATTAACACCATTGGATACCGGTCGGCTCAGTGGTCCAGTTGGTTAAGCGTTCGCGTGCGAGACTGAACGCTCTGTGTTCGAATCCTGCGAGCGGGATGGTTGATGCGCACTGCCACTGAGGAGTCCCACAATAGGACGAAACGGCTGTTCAGTGTTTCCAGGTTTTCAATGGTGTCTAACGTCAATTGGTTCATGATCTCAATCAAAATAATATAGTGGTATTGTTGATCTGCAATAATGATATCTACCGGTTATCGAAGTGAATTCAATCAGTGATGGAAATTTATCATGGAATCGGATAATTCTCTTCTTATAACTAGAAATTAAATGTTGACTACGTTTGTTTTTATGAAAATATTAAGGCACTAACTTAACGCGTCTTGCCGACGGTACTGTTTTTTGTGTGCACTAATAAGGAGTCCAATACTAGGATTAGGCATCTGTCTAGTTTTCAAACTTATATATATACGCTGCCAGCGTTAGCAGTTAGTGTATTATTGAAAACAAGAAGGAAACCGAGTTGCTATATCATTCTATTTTCGTAATACTTCCGCAGTATGCGTCCTTCATGACACCGTAAGGATTCGAACATAGATTCTATAAATTTCAAAATAAATATCTATAAATTAATGACCTATATGTTCACGATACTGCTGGACAACCGCTCATGACAGGAAATATTTGCCTTACTACTGAAATTACTAAACTTCCCCCCTACTCTCAAGTTATAGCTTATCATTAGAACTTCAGAACTTCATTTTAAACACAATCAGTTACTTTTTCAACCTTCTTTTGTTAGAATACAATTTTCACTTAATGCCACAGATTTGATCATATACATTCTTAGCAAATGCATCGGTTTTAATAGTATATTATCAGTTTAGGGGTTGTGAAGATTAATAAGTTTTTGATTGAGATCATGAACCGATTGATGTTCGACCACCATTGAAAATCTGAGAGCACTGGACAGCTGTTTCGTCTTATTGTGGGACTCC